AAAAAATACGTCTAGCAGTGTTGGTCTCATTTCAAATGGCCACTTCGACTTGGGATCCTTCCCTTGTCAGAAAGAGTGCCTCAGAAATATCGTGAACTGTCTTTTTGGACCCATTTGATTAAACCTTTTGGTTTTGGTTGAGAATAAGTATATCTGACATAATTCTTCTTATGTTTTCTCTTACCTGCGTCATAACGTACAGGAGACCTTAACTCACATCATGGTCCTTAGGAGCTTTACTATGTTCGCCACGCCCCTTCTGTGACACCTTTCGCTGTACGAGCGCCACGCGTCATTCCCGTCACCATGCAGACTGCCTGATCCACTATGCGTATCTTCTGATATGCGCGACCCAAGCTGCCCACTGCCTTCAACTCTACCCAGACTACTTTGTCTACGACTTCGATCTTTCTAACGAACTTTGTTCATCTACCCACAAACTGGTTCTGGCATTAACATGTTCGAACACTTTACTTCCACAACTGGTATCTACCTATAACGCTAATTTGTCCTTAAGTTGATGTCATACCGTAGCCTAGTTTCACTTGGTCTTTCTGTCAGCAGTCAGTTTAAAGGGTATGTTATCGAATTGGATTTCCGAAAGGTCAGCTGTTGACGGAGGGTCTAAAGGCTTAGTGCTGTGTCCTTATGTCTGGCAGCAGCACTTCTTTCCCGTCGATGGCGGCTGAAACGAGTTTTGTCTACATTACTTTACAGCGAACCGCGACAGTGTCTGAAAAAAGATGATAGCCCATATGTTCTAGTGATCATAACTTTAACGTTCCCCTCACGACCATAACCCCATCATTGCCAATGACACTAAAATAAAAGCGAACCTGAAATATAGAATAAAGTTCAGCTTCAGTCTGTTTTCACGTGCATCTACGTACTCCTATAAAAGTACGTAGGTGCATCAAACCAATCGGTTTTTGAATTGCTGGATCTAGAAGGTGTACAAATCGGTGCTTAAATCCTCCCACATAAGCCCAAGCTTGTATTGATTTGATCGTCGGACCTTGGGCCCTGGGCGAAAGTAACAAAATTAGATGTATCGGAGAGATGACCCAAAATTTTGCCCTAATCATTAACGGAAGCGTAAGTTGACATAAAGGTAACCGATCTA